TTATGTCATCATAAGTTATATGGCATGAAGTAATTTCCCAAATTCCGATTCCATTGTCATTTAATCAGAATTTCATCCTTTACATTCTCATGAAACAAAATTAGCCTCAACCAACAACCCACAAAAATTTAATCTTGCAAGTTCAAACCATCATATATTATATAGCCTACAATGAGAACCAGAAGCTTATGCGAACGATCTAGCATCTATCAGACAAATTTACCAAAACATGCACCAATATCTTGTATAAAAACAGTGGATAACATTTTAGTGGTATAGCTCAGAATCATGAGTTGTAAAGTATGTCAAGTTGTAAATAAATCCTCTGTTTAAGAATAAATGAATAAACGAAATACGTCAAATTTATAACTCATTATTCTTCCATGGAATTGCATCCAAATAAACCAAAGCACACACTTTGTTAAATCTTATTCCACTGCTCAGAAGCTAGAAAACTTCAGAGCATGTATATAGAATGCGCAAGAATTGATACACAAACAAACAGTAAATGCTAAACTCATTCTTTGGTCTTGATCTAATAAAGTGAATATAATGAAACCAAGTTTCAGTTACCTTCAGAGCATACACTCACAAGGTCATACACTAGAAAACAGCCATAAGAGAGCACAAGATCTCTCAAGGATAATTTCCCATAACTTTTCTAACCATCTAAACTTGAAATATGATCAGTAAAACGTACTGGCTTGTCCACTAATTAAACATGTTGAAGATCAAGGAAAACGAGAAAAAACAACTGACAGTAAACAACATGAAAAAAGGCATTACCTCCACGAAGGCCATTAAAAAATGAGTAGATCCCACCAGGTTTCAACAATGAAGGAAGATGTTGGTGGAACTCTCTCATATCTTCATAATACTCCCTATAAGTGTCAGAGAATACACCTGGAAAAAATAGAATCAACAATTACTAGGGGACAGTTATGCATGCTATATGCCATATAAGATAGTCAAATTAATTAGCTATTATTGTGTATTTAAAAAAAAAAGTAAAAAGAAAAGCTTCTACAAGTATTTGCACATTTAAGCAGGGCAGATTGTAGACAATACAACATGCACTTAATCCATCAATGATAGAAATCAGCTACAACTGCACATTTCCTTGGTCATTTCACTTCCTTCTTTATAGTGGTCTTAGATGCAAAGAAAAAAAATATTTAGTAAAATTAGAAATAATATCTAATTTAATGAGGTTTGCATGTCTATGGGTTGGTATATTAAATGGGATGGAAAGGGGAGTGAGTAGTAACCACTAGTGAGAAAAGAAAGTAGATTCCAGTGCAAATCCTCTTATCCTTTCTCCTCAAAACAGAACATTATGTTCTACAAGTTTCTTGCTATTTGTCGCTAGGGGTCAATTGTGTTGTGTGTTAATTTTATGCAGGGCATGCATGGACACGCTGATGCATTGGAGGAAAGGACCACTGTGGATGGACTTGATGCCATCCTAGATGAGTTGGCTTACATTATGCATAAAGTCTCGTGCGAGGTGTTACTAATGTGTTTTAGAACTTGCTTAATAATTACTAGTGGTAATGGGGGGGGGAAAAGTGACAGTAGTGAGGCTAGCTTAAGTTCCCATAAGAACCAAGTAATGAAATCATTACAAAATTAGTTTTTTTAACTCATGTGCCCAATTCCCACACCATAATAGAAAAATTCTCTGTATGTTTTCTCTTCAAGTATGATAAACTGTCTATTTATATTAATATAGTTAGATAAAGGTTCATATAATGTTAAAATCCTCCACATTACCCATGAGAAAATGAAAAAGATGGAAGCTGCAACATAGTATTCTAAGAAATAGAAATACGAGAAAGAGCAACAGAACACTGATAATGAATCATGAAAATATAAAATGTGAGGAAGGGATTGCGGTCTAGGGTTTCATAGACCAACCCAGGGATTGTGGTCTAGGTATTGTCCTATTTTTATAAACCAACCTAGTCAGTTCACAAACGTGAAAGGGGCAGTTTCAAAGAAAGGGATTGTGGTCTAGGGTTTCATAGAATGGATATGGAGAAAGGGGGAGAGAAAAAAGTTGCAGAGAGAGAGAGAGAGAGAGAGAGAGAGAGAGAGAGAGAGAGAGATACCTTCAGGCGAAGTCGAGGGTAGGTCTTGTTCGCAAGGATGGTCTTCGAGGATGGTCTTTGAGGGCGAAGAAGAGTGTCTGCGTGCTGTCTCAAAAACAGGGGCTTTGGGAAAAAAAACTGAAGAAATTTGAAAAAAGGTAACCGGTTGAAGAGGTTGTCAATATTCCTAATCAAATTATTCAGTGGCTGAGATTAATTTGTAAAAATCTAATGGTTTAAAATAAATGTGTACATGATGTGCACATCTTATTGAGGTGCACATCTTAATAGCTCCCTTTTTCCTTTGTTTTTTGCGCTATTGGAAATAAATAAGTTTGTAACGTTAGTACGAGAGTGGGATGTGACCAAGGAAGTTTGAGTTTTGGGTTGAGATTCTTTTCACAAAAAAATATATTAGAATAATCAAATCTTTTTTCAACTTTGCTAGGATCTCCCAGTGGGGGTCACCCCCAGTACCTCCACTGGCATTTCATTGGCCAGTTTATTTATTTATTTATTTTTTCTTTCCTTCCAATCACCCACCCCCACGTGGGGCTGGGGGGTCACTGGGGGTGGGGTCTGGCGCATTAATCATTTTTTTTAACTTGATAGTTTGAAAGCGGCAAAGAGGAAGGGAATATTTAGGTCTCGTTTGGAGCGTTTAATTTTTGTTAGAAAATTAAAAAGTTTATTAGGAAAATGATTTTCCCCCCGAATTTTGTCCCCCCGAATCCCCCAGCTGCCCAAAACGATCGTTTTGGGCAGTTTTTTTCTTTTTTTTCTTCTTATGCAGTCTGAAAGTCTGAAACAGAGGGAGAAAAAGAGAAAGAGGGAGAGAAGAGAGAAGAAGAGAGGAGAAGAGAAAGAGGAGGGAAAGACCTTATGCACTCTGAAAGTCTGAAACAGAGGGATAGAAAGAGAAAGAGAAGAGAGAAGAAGAGAGGAGAAGAGAGAGAGGAGGGGAAGAGGAAATAGAGAGGAAGAGGGAATAAAGAGAGAGAGGGCCCCTCCGCTTCCGCCGATCGATTGCAGCCTCCGCCGATCGATCGCCCAGCCGATCGTCGCAGCTCGTCGGCTGATCGTCGCAGCCCCGCCTCCGCCTCTTTCTTCTTCTTTCTTCTTCTTCTTCTTTTCTGATTGACAAAAAAAAACGACGTTTTGAGTTCGGGGGATTCGGGAGAAAAAAGGATTCGAGCTACGTAGCATAATTGAAGTTATTATAAATTATCATATTATTTTTTTTATTTTTATATACAGTTTTTTATAAAAAAATTATTAAATTAGTCTATTTTCAAATGAGACTTTAGTAAATTTAAAAGTCTCTAATATGAGAATTTTAAATTAGAACTATAAAATCTAATAAAATGGAACTATTTTTGCAATTTCCTTATAGTAGCTCAATTTTAGAGACATTAGTGCATTTCTAAAGGTTTATCATTAAAGTAGCTATTACTATAATTTGACAATTAAAAATAAAAAGCATGCTTCGATGGTTAGTTATGACAACTGTTAAATTTGACAAATGCCACAAGTTTTGGCAGCCGTCATAAGTGCCAACTCAAGCAAAATCTATCTCCCTCTCTCCCAGCAAAACATATAAATTTTCACAAAATTGTCATTTTTGCATAATAAAACACAAAAATTAGTGTGTTTGAGATGACTGACCAGACGGTCATCCGAAAACACTAATTTTTATGTTTGATCTGCCAAAATGACATTTGATCATTGGAGTATCATTGCTATAATTCTATCATTTTCTATTATTCATTGTCAAATTATAGCAATGACAATTCTATTATAGCATTTACCATTAAAGATGTTCTTACCATTTGATATGGCTCCGAAATTTCTATAAGGGTATTGAACAATTATTCAGTGTTCCTGAGAGGGTAATTTATACATAAATTGGGCCGAGTTGGGTAAATGGGCCGTTCTTTAGGCCATTGTAAGAAGGGTTGGATAAAAGGGGCTTGTAGTTAGCCCGGTCCCAGTGAGCCCTATTGATATCTCAACCCCAAAGAGCCCCCTTGTTATCCCGGTCCGAAAGAACCTTGAAGTTAGCCCGGTCATAGCGTAGTATGGTTAGCTCGGTCAGGACCTTGCTATTTTCTAGCTCGGTCTAAGCGTACCATGGTTTGTACAGGGAAAACCGAGGTAAGAGCAGTGAAAGGAAGAACCAAACTAGACATAGTTTGGTCTACTCAGCGGCTTAGCATGGCCATGCTTACCTCGGTCATATTGGAATCCGACCATGGTAAAACCATCTCACTTGGTTTAAGCAGTGAGGGGGTGTTGAAGGGTAAGTATTATCTTTCAGGAGTATGACTCCTAGGAGGACTCTATATGGAGGAGTAAAAGTCCTACTAGGATTGTGCCACGTGGAACCTATAAAAGCTCACAACTTCACCTATGGAGAGGTAACACAACTTTGATTCTCGAATACACAGGGATTTTGTTTATTTGTCTATTTTGCTGACTTAGGTATCGGAGAGGTATTCGGCACACACTCGTCGGCTAGCTCACGTTTGTGTTTTTAAGGAATAAAGCAACGTCATACGGAGGAGCGCAAACTTGATCAACAAGATTATACGAAAAGGTTTATTTCTTTCCCGTATAGTTCCTAATAATGCAAATAATAATAATATTAGATATTCCAAAAAAATTATGAAATTTTTTATAAAATACTATGAGATACATATCATGTCTACATAATTATAGTGTAAACTTTTTTACAATAATTTTAAAATTTTAAATTTTTATCAAATATCTCATAAAAATATGATGAGCCTTATATTCACGTCAGACATTTGATAAAAAATTTAGTAGCAGTCTTAAAATCTCTAATATTTTTTTAAATATTTTTTAATTTTTAGTAGATTTGAATGTGCTCCTCCTACCACGTTTTGTTTAGCATGCATGTTCATGTTGGCATACTCACACATCATCGTCATCACTGGATCGCAACAACTCGAGGTCGCCCTCTTTGGGTCCCACTCCGACATTCTCCATTTCAACCATGGCGGCTCCCTTCCCCCCTTCCGCCGCCCTTCCTTTGAACAACAACGGCAGCACACCATGAATCGCCTCCAACCGACTTAACCACCTACCTCCTCACTCCCACCTCTCTCTAACTCTCAAAAATTCGAGCTTTCTTCTTATGGCCGCTTTGCCAAACCCTAGCGTTCCTCTCCGACACTACCGCCGACAACTCTCTCCTTCCCCAATCACTGTTTCGCGGCCCCGAAACGGCTTCCCAGAGAGATTTGGTGGTCTCGGATCGATCAAGCCCTCGACGAAAATTTCAGTCAAGTGTAATGTTTTGGGCGAAACAGATAATAACGGCGGTGTTGAAGCCAGTAACTGCATAAAAGACGAACAGTTTGTGAGGTTTTTCCGCGAAGCTTGGCCATATTTTCGAGCTCACCGCGGCGGCACGTTTGTTGTTATTATTTCCGGTGAAATCGTCGATAGCCCTTACTTGGATCCCGTTTTGATGGCACGTTTCTAATCTCATCTCTACTACCTCTGTTTCACCGTCTCTATCTATAATGGATGATCAATTAGGTTTGAATAAGTCTTCAATTTGTGGGTTTGGGCTACTTTTCTTGAACTTTGCTTGATTGTTTTTTTTTGGTTTCTTGCTTCGACTTTGTCAATTTTTGTGATGAACTTTGTGCTGCTTTCAATTTGTCGAGTTTTTTAAGTGTCAACATACACAAAGATTATATATTTTTGCATGTATCATGTATGGATATAATATACATAATTGGAGGTATGATACCAGCTTCACCAGGTTGAATGAATCTGTACACAGGATATTTCTCTGCTTCATGGCTTGGGAATCAAATTTGTTCTTGTCCCTGGGACTCATGTACAAATTGACAAGCTTTTGGATGAGAGAGGTGAGTGAAACCCGGTTACTTCGGCTTGGTCTACATACACACCTATATGTGTATATATTCTCTCTGTTAGCAATAGTTCTCATTTTTTTGATATTTGAATCGTGCTTTATGTTGCCTTGATGTTTCATAGTAATATTGATGTAATATATTTTCAACGGAACAACATATTGCTGTGGATTTTTTTTTCTTCTGAAATGTTGTCTTGATAATACAGTAGAGTAAATTAAAGTTAAACCATGTCAAGGTGAATTCCATGTTTGTTGTCCTCATTGATATAAATTTATTGCCCCATTCCATTTATGGTGTGTTTGGTTGGAGGATTTAGGAAGGGATTTGAAAAGAGAAAGAAAAAATGAAGGTGAAATGTATACCTAATTTCACACTCTTCCTTTTTCCTTCCCAAATCCCCCAATCAAATACAACGTTAAGGTCAAAATTTGTGTTTTCTTTGCTGTAAATGTGCAATAAACTTACTCTAACAGATATATTTTATCCAGCTGTAGAAGTCATTTACCTCTTTGAAATCTTGAAAAGGACTTTGAATAAAGCTGCTCTCAACTGGTTGCTGGCATACTTTTTTACATAGAGATTATGTTGGATTGCCTTTTTTTCCTTTTTTTTTTTTTATCAAACTTTGTACTCAACAAACTTGCGCCGGAACTGATCCTTGAAGAAGATATATTATCAAGATTAAATTTCTTTGTTTATTGAAACTAAGCTCAAGTTGTGTACTATCAAGCTTGAATATTTCATATTGGAATACTTGGTTCATCTTGCCGCTCTTAAACTTGTTTAAGCTAGATCCTCATGCCAAATTTGTTGTCACCAATGAATTGTAAGTTCTGGTTTTAAGACATAGAAGATAGTTGTCTTTGATCCTGTTGTTACCCATACTGCCCTTTTCTGTCTTTCTGGCATCAGCAAATGCTATGGTGCTTTCAATCTACTATAAGTTTTCCTTTTAGGATCAACATGTTATTTTTCTTTTTCTGTTCTTTTATTTCGTATGTTCAATTACATCATTTCTATTGCATTCACATTGTTAAACAACTCATGTAAAGTGTACCAACCTTACATTTTCACAAAATTAACCTTATTAGTCATTATGAGAAAGAGGAAGTTTTCCTTGGAAGAACGACTTGAGATGTTGAAGGATATTATTTGGAGATTTTCATTTAGGACCTTCCAACTTCATCCTGATGCATATCAAATTACCAAATTTATTTATTTATCTATCGTTTCTTTTTTACTTGGAATGGTAGGGATTGTGAATGTTGTAGTTATGTTGTGATAGAAATGGGCTAAGAGCATGTAATTGATTCAACAACTTGTCAATCTGTGTTGTATTCTTTTTCACAACTTTATTATGTTTTTACCAGATAATCATTGATTCGAATTTTAGCACTCTCTCTCTTTCTCTCCTCCCCCCCCCATAGTGCCAATTTTTATAATAGGGAAGGAACTACCACGAATACATAAGGTGTCATCACCTTCAAAAGTTGGGCCCTTTTGGAGGTGGTGTTTGGATTGTACCTTTCTGCTCTTGGATCTATTACGTTGACTTTTTCCCTTCCCCTTGTATTATCACAAAGATTTAATTTACATGTGATATTTGAAAGTTGTAATTCTGTTGGGCAACATGTAACCAGGATTTTTATTGCAGGAAGTGAGCCAAAGTATTTAGGTCGATACAGAATTACTGACTCTAATTCCCTCCAGGCAGCAATGGATGCAGCTGGGAGAATTCGTATTATGATAGAGGCAAAGCTATCTCCTGGACCCTCTTTATGCAATATCCGTCGACATGGTGACAATAGTCGTTGGCATGATGTTGGTGTCAGTGTCGCTAGTGGTAATTTTCTTGCAGCCAAGGTAAGAATACTACTGCAAGATTAATTTTTATTATTTTCAATCTGCTTTTAGATTCCTTTTATATGTTTTGATATGATCATTAGTGTTTGAACTTCTTTGACATTATTAGCTTATCTAGTGGAGGCTTGTTCTGTAATATTTCCATTTTATTAGTGGAAAATAAATTTACTTATTTTTATCTTTTGGCAGAGAAGAGGTGTTTTGGAAGGAATTGATTATGGAGCAACAGGTGAAGTAAAGAAAATAGATGTTGCTCGCATTCGTGAGAGGCTGGATAAGGATTATATAGTTATCTTAAGCAATCTTGGCTACTCCAGCTCCGGGGAAGTTCTAAATTGCAAGTATGCTTCATAGCTTTTAATAGGTACCTTTTGTAACAGCTTGGCCTAATCTTAAATACTTAATTCTAATTTCCCAGATCTAACATGTGAGGTTTTGGCAGTATTATATCTAGTTCTCAGGGTAGACATACTTGAACATTCTTTCAATTGCATTTGAGAAATTTGTCTTTTCCAAAAGGAATTACCTCATTCATCTTTGTCACTTTATATAGTTGCCTTTCCATTAAGGTCCTTTACAGATTAGCCCACAAGTACTTAAAATAGACACCTCACAAATTGGTGTTTCAACTATGAGCAACTTACAAATTTGAGGGAGGAGACCACTATTTTTTCAGCATTAAAAATGATTGACTACACAGTTTTGACCGTTTCGCTGTTTTTTGTTTTATAAATATTTTTTTTCGATAAGTAAAGACTAAAGAGTAATTACGAATTATAAAAGGAAAGGCACCAAGAGTTTGTCATATTTTAATCATGCAATCTGTTTGACACTTTTATTTCTGCGCTTGAAACCCTCGGTCTAATACTTTTTGCTGCTATAAATTTTAGCACATATGAAGTTGCTACAGCCTGTGCCTTAGCTCTTGGAGCGGAGAAGCTTATTTGCATTATTGATGGCCCAATCCTGGATGAGTGTGGACGCCTTATTCGTTTTTTACCTCTTCAAGACGCAGACATGTTGATTCGCAAACGAGCTGAGCAAAGTGAGATAGCCACTAACTATGTACAGGCTGTTGGTGAAGATGATCTCACTTGCCTTGTCCATAGTGATTCTAATGGAAGTGTTCCCTTTCAGCAGAATGGGAAGGGTTTTAGTGATAAGTATGCTGCAACATTTCAGAACGGTGTTGGTTTTGACAATGGAAATGGACTATGGTCTGGTGAACAGGGTTTTGCCATTGGTGGTCAAGAGAGGCTGAGTCGTTTAAATGGTTACCTTTCTGAATTAGCTGCTGCTGCTTTTGTTTGCAGAGTAAGTCTACAACTTTATGGATAGGCCTAAATTTCTTAAATTGCTCACTTTTGCAAAGTGATTTATTTTTAATAATAGTCCGGCAATTAACTTTATTTATTCTGGTTTTTAAAGCCATAGATGTTTGTTACATCAGTTTCTTGTCGTTTCGTATTGGTTAATTTTTTGAGGAAAGTTATTGTTAAATTGTCAGGTCCTAATAAATTGCTTCAAGTGAAATGGTTTTGAATTCATACGGTGCATTTTTTTTTAAATGTCAAACTTCCTGTGAATTATGTATCATTATCATTATTTATAGGAATAGGTGTTCAGTGAGTTTGTTATAATTGTCCCTTTTGTTTTTTTCTTACTTTCCTTCAGGGAGGCATTCAGCGAGTTCATCTATTAGATGGCACTATTGGTGGAGTTTTACTACTGGAACTGTTTCAAAGAGATGGAGTAGGGACTATGGTGGCTAGGTATGCAATCTTTGGCTGCAAATTTCTTTCACATAATCTAATTTCAAGTTATTAACTACTAACGCATACTGAATTCCTATTTGCTGACAAACTTGAGCAGCAAATATTCCTGTTTAGGGGCATTGCATTTGAACATTCTAAACTAACTAAAGTTTTTTCATCCCTTATTGTTTGCTTGATGTATCTGTTCGCGCATTCCTTCTTTCTTTCATTTTTTCCATTTCCTTTTGCCTTATTTTTTTAATTGGCACCAGAGTGTCCGGATCAAAGTCTGACTAATCCCTAGGTGTGCACAAACTCTTAGTAAGGAGTTTCTGGCAAGTGTACCACGACTGGTTCAAGGGTCTTCTCCCAGCCCGATGGCTCCAAGGAATTGTTAGTACCTAAGAGGTTTCGATCCCTGAACCTTGGAGGGAGCACACCCCCAAGACCCAAGGCCTTGCCACTAGGCCAACCCCTTGGGGTTCATTTCCTTTTGCCTTATCAAGGGAGCATTTGTGTTTAAGTTTGGTTTTTCTTTTTTTTCCCCCCAGTAGGCAGGTTGTAGTTGAATTTTTCCACTCACGGAAATCTATGTTTAAGAGCAGTACCTGGTGCTAGAGGGTATTGGTCAGTGGGTAGGGCTGTCCCAGAATATGTTCAAAATTACAGCATATTTGTTGGGCTTTCCTAACTGACAAGAACTTTTTGGCATCTTTTCTATACATCAAAATTTTATATGATTCATCAACTAAGCATGTCCAAGCTTTAAAAGTTGCCATAACTTTGAACTCTCATGTGTGGCTCTTGAACATTCTTGATCATTAAGGCACTGATTAGTTTTGTTTGTATGATTTCAAGATAGACACCAAGTATATGGCATGAATTGTAGTAAACCAGGGGATTTGTTTGTTAAATCATATTTTAATTCTCGTATCCAGTCACATGAGTGAGATTCTTTAAGGCCTATAAGCTGTTATTTTGAATAAGAAATATAAGTCTTAGACAAAAAAGAGTAAGATCCATTTGCTATGCTGCAAGCATCAAGATTTTCACTAACATTTGATGTACTTGTCCGTTTTCACTCCTCAGTGATCTATATGAAGGAACACGGATTGCTAGGGTGACTGACATTCCAGGGATAAAGCAAATTATACATCCTTTAGAAGAATCTGGTACATTGGTCAGACGGACCGATGAAGAGGTTTGTGCTCGTGCTCTTTTTATGTTTGATTTGATATATTAATTTTTGCTCAATCACCAGGTAACCCTAAAACTTACTCTGCTTTTCACTTGTTCTTTAGCTGCTTAAAGTATTGGATTCATTCATTGTTGTGGAGAGAGAGGGTCAAATCATTGCTTGTGCTGCTCTTTTCCCTTTCTTTAAAGAAAAGTGTGGGGAAGTTGCTGCTATTGCTGTTTCTTCTGAATGCCGTGGGCAAGGACAGGGAGACAAATTACTTGGTATGATTTTTATTTTTATTTACGGAATTTATTATGTAATTCATCTATGAGTTGGTCATAGTTTGTCTCGGTGTTTGTAATTATTTGTAAATTTATTGACCTTTGTCACCTTTTCCGAATAATTAATTTGCAATTGAACTATGCAGATTACATAGAGAAGAAGGCATCTTACCTTGGATTGGAAATGCTTTTCTTGCTTACCACCCGCACTGCAGATTGGTATTATTTTTATCTTCCACAATGTATTGATTTCATGCATAATTGTGTCATTTTTTTGATGGCTAAATTCCATTTGATTTGAAAGTACATTTCTAAATAATTTACTACATTTTATTCAAGAATATTGTACAATATGCAATATAATATATGTAATCTTTTGAGATGTGTTCCTGTACCGACACCCAACTTTTGGATGCATATTTTAATATCTTAAAGTTTAGGTTTAGAAAGATTTGACGCTTGAACATGCACCGCATCTAATATTTGTACCCAAGTCCTTGTAACATGGTTCTCTGCTTTCTTTTGTTGCCCCTAAAGATGTAATTTTAGTTTTTATACTTCTCACCTTATATTATTGTTTTTATAATTTGAATGAAAGAGATCATTTCCATATTATTTTTTGTGATAGCTTCATCTTCACAGCGCTGTCATTTATGTATTCTGATACTTGCATATGTATTTATGATTTATGAATTTGTACCTTTATATGCAATGGAAAAGGAAATTGAATTTCACGTGTGTAAGCATACTGCACCACCACAATGAACTGTGTTCTGTCTTTGATCTATTATAAACCATTGGCACTGTCTGTTTGACAGGTTTGTGAGGCGCGGTTTCTCAGAATGTTCTATTGAATCCATACCAGAAGAAAAGAGGAGAAAGGTCAATCTATCCCGTGGTTCCAAGTATTATATGAAGCAGCTACAACCCGACATGAGTGGAATTGGTATTTGATCGAATGTTCCTTGATGATGCAACAGCAGGATCAATTTACATCATCCACATAATACCTGTGATCGAATTTTGGAGCTCAGCGTTTAACCATCTCAATTTCCGCTTACATTTATTTATTTTTGTTTAGCAGTTGTTCTAAGGTGGACTTTGTTAGAGATTGATTTAATTATTTTGTTAAGATAATAGAAAGTACCTGTTTGTGCTAAGGACTTCAAGTCCAGTTTTTATTTTTATTTTTATTTTTTTTAATGTATACTCTTTCACCTTGTACATTTATGCCTCCCTTGCTATGAGCAGGGCATCCATTTCAATGTCTAATGGTCAAACTGTGATTAAATATTGTAGGGCAAATGACGAAGGAGTAGGGATGACAATTTCTGTCCCGTCCCATGCTCATAAAGAATTGAATGAAGTGGGGTTTTGCTTCTCTCAAAAGGTTCTTCTCTTCATATATATATATATATATTAATTTAAGGAAAATGTTCCGGATCCCCACTCTGGCTGACCCCCACGCACCCCCAGCTGATATGGATAGTCGCGTTATATGCACGTGTGTCATAGACCCCACTTGAGAATTCAAAATCTCCCCCAAACACTAACAGATCTCTCTGCCTCTTCCTCTAAAACCTTGACTCCAACGATCGAGAGGGCGACAACTCCTTCCATTTACACCGATGCCCGACTCCCTCCTTCTCTTGACTTTGATGCCGGACTCCCGACATTGGACTCTCGATTCTCTCGGTCTCTGTTTTCCTCTCATCCGACCAAGGACAATTAAGAGGTAAACCTCCTAACTCCCGACTCAGACTGTCTCTCGTTCCCTCTCATCCGACGAAGTACGATTAAGACGTATAGCCGCTTATATATATATATATATATATCTGGGTGGGTGTATATATATATCCATGTACATATATATATATATATATATCTGCTTATATATATCTCTATGTATATGTACTTAGGGCTGTGTATATATGTATCTGCGTATGTTGAGTAAAAAATTGGGTTGAATGTTTGGATTTAGGGCTGTTGATTTGGGAATTAAGTTTGGACTTTTGATTTGTTTATCAGATTGGCCTTTTGATTTGGAGTTTTACCTTGCCTACCACATGTCCGATGAAATTCCTCAACCAAATCAAAAAGTCCTAACCCAACTCAATCTGTATGTCTTTCCCTCTCACATTATGAACACTGATTCCAGCTATAATTATTTGTAGGAAATTATAGTTTTAATTTTTTTGATAGGTTGTGAAAAACCAATCCATTCATCTCATTGTTAACATAGATAGACTTGGGTTATCTGAGCATATATGTAAGCATAGATAGACAGGTACCTCATTTTTAGGATTGAAGTTGACATATATGTAACTTAGAGGTTTATCTGAGCATCAAACCAAAGGATTGAAATTAACATATATTTATTTATATCAAACTTACCTGGCTGAAATTAGGTATTCTTAAAGCATTTTTGCTTCATTGGGAGTAATCACAAAGTGAGGGATGTCATAAATTTCTGTAGACTTCACATCATTTGGATCAACAACTATTATCCTAACTCCACCTCCATTACTTATAACACTTCCCATAGTTGCTTTATCATCACAGCTCCCCATGGTACAGACCACAATCTTTCCTTGAATTAAAACAGTATCAAGTGAGTTTCTGCTTTCTTGAAGTCTGATGATTGAATACAGGGAAAATGGAATCCATAAAATTGTTGAATACAGGGAAAATTGTTGAATACAGGGAAGAGGAATTGTTGAAACAGTATCATGTGAATGAAAATTGTGATTTGAAGAGGAATTGTTACATGTACTGTATATAAAATTTGTGAGTTAAGATTAACTAATTTTCAACATAAACAAACAAGTGATACAACGAAATCCATAAGTATATAAATTGTTATAAATAAATAAATAAATCAATCAATTATTTAGCCATGTGGCTAGTGTTAACCTTTGTCATAAAAAAATCAATCATGTGAATCAAAACCTTTGTTATATAAATTTAGCCTTTTAGATTATTTATAACTTGTGGCTAGTGTTAACCTTTGTCATATAAATTTGTCATAGTATTATTTTTTCATAACTCTTTAGAGTTTTAATAAAATTTAACCCTTCATCAGCTAATAGCAGTCAGTGGCTAGTGTTAACCTCAATTTGAAAAGTGGCTAGTGTTAACCTTTATAACTTGCAGCAGTTTATTACCTTACTACAGCAGTTTATTAATCTTTATAACTTGCTATTTCTCCTTTTTTGCAGATGTTAAGTTCAAGTGTTAATGGTAGTAACTCAAATCGGTTGACATACGTCAACAACAATTGTTGGAGATGTAATAAAAAGGTCACTACTCGAATTTCTAAGACCGATCGAAACAAAAACAAGTTATTCTATTCTTGTAATGATTTTGGTGGTTTTGTTGGATGGTGCTTGCCTATGAATTCAGAATGTAAGGGTCATGAAATTCCAAGAGAAGTGCCAACTGTCGGCGAACAAGTTCGATGTATCACGGAACAACTTCGAGCTATGACGGAACAACTTCGAATTCATAGCACAAAGATGCAAAAGTTTATATATATATGTGCAAGTTAGAAGTAGAAGTAGACGTAAATATACAAGTAGAAGTACAGTGAATACTCTTGTATGGTTTTGTGATGTTTTGGAGGAAGTTATGTTTTGTTATGTATTGAAACCTAATTATTGTACCTGTTTTGTTGTGAGTGGAATAGAAAATGACTTATTTAAACTTGTATACTTTTTTGAATACTCATTGAATAGATATTGTTAAATACAAGAAAAATGTTGCATACACATAGTTGAATACAGGGAACAAGGTTCTGAAAGCGGTTGCGGTCGTCGTAACGGTGGCAGTGGCGCGGTTGCGGTTACGGGGTGTAAAGGCCGTAGTGTAACGGTTGCGGTAACTGGAACCGTGAATTTTTTCATTTTTCGCACAATTTGAAAAAAAACTTATCGATACGCATATTTTTTTTCCACGATCATATTTATTTGGTTAAAAATAAATATTGATCAATTTTTGTAAATTTTTAAGTATGATCCAATATATTTCATATTTTTAAATCACTATAAACTTAGTTTTTTATATTTTATTTTAATAATTAATGACTTTATATTATACAAAAAATCAATCACTAACTATTATATATAAGATAAACAATGACAAAAGTAAGAGAATAAATAAGAGCTTAAATATATATATAAACATATTTTAACCAAACTAAATAGTTAATGACCACACTTATTATTATTATTATTATTATTATTTTCAAACAATATATAAATAGACACACACAAACAAAATGGTTGAGTGATAGCAGTTGAATAGAATAACATAGGTCTTACAGCTTCAACAAATCAATAACATGTTCTTCAGCTTCCCTCTTCTTTCTCTATCTCTTGCTCCTCCATTTTCTCTCTTTTATTTTCCCTCTTTTCTTTATCCCTCTTCCCCCATTTTCAGCTTTTTTTTTTGTGTTTTTTCGAAAGAAACAGTTTGGAACCGTTACGTAACGGTGCGTAACAGGCCGTTATGACTGTTACGGCACCGTCACGACCGCTACGGCTGACACACCTGTGAATCTCAATCACACTGCAAAAGCAGCCGTAGCGAGTGGTGGTAACCGCCAAAACCGTTACGTAACGGCGTTACGTAACGGTTGCGGCCGCTTTTTAAAACCTTGGTTGTGCTCTTCTTTAAACAGTTTATTATTGTTATTTAGGTTTGTATCTTCTTGTTTCGTTTAGTTCTATCAAACTAGGGTAAGTGTCATCTGTTCATTATTATTATTATTATTATTATTATTATTATTATTATTATTATTATTATTATTATTATTATTATTATTATTATTATTATTATTATTATTATTATTATTATTATTATTATTATTTTCAAACAATATATAAATAGACACACACAAACAAAATGGTTGAGTGATAGCAGTTGAATAGAATAACATAGGTCTTACAGCTTCAACAAATCAATAACATGTTCTTCAGCTTCCCTCTTCTTTCTCTATCTCTTGCTCCTCCATTTTCTCTCTTTTATTTTCCCTCTTCTCTCTATCACTCTTCCCCCATTTTCAGCTTTTTTTTTTTTGTATTTTTTCGAAAGAAACAGTTTGGAACCGTTACGTAACGGTGCGTAACAGGCCGTTACGACTGTTACGGCACCGTCACGACCGCTACGGCTGACACACCTGTGAATCTCAATCACACTGCAAAAGCAGCCGTAGCGAGTGGTGGTAACCGCCAAAACCGTTACGTAACGGTTGCGGCCGCTTTTTAAAACCTTGACAGGGAAACTATTGAATAGATATTGTTGAATACAAGGAAAATGTTAAATACAGGGAAACTATTGAATTCAGCTATTGAATGAAAGTTCCTAGACACCCCAATCCCTACTTGATCATTAATTTCTAATCTTCTCTTCACAGGAGTAAGAATTTTCTTATTTATTGCAAAATTATGTGAGCCGGTGGGAATCAAATCTTAATTATGCTCAAGGTTAACTGTGATTAGTTTATATCTCTCATCCTTTTGTACACTACCTCGTACCCTTACTTTGCAACCAATTTGTGGACAAAGATGGTTTTAGAGGGTTGACTTCTGATTTCTTTTTTCTCTCTCCCGCTCAAAAACATTCAATTGCAAAGTTTTTTAATTGTCTATCATCTCCAAAATGTTTTTCTCTATGAGCTATAGAAAATCCAACATGCTTAGCATATTTGCCATAAAATGTGTACACTTCTTCCTTTGAGCTAAAATACATACCTTTCTTAGGTTCTTCAACTTCTTCACCCTCATTTACTGAAGGATTGTCACCAACATTGGAATCAACCTCCACTCTTCCACTTTGCATAATGAAATAATAATTAAATGATTTCAGAATGATTATATAACACAATGTCTAAACAAACACAATGAATCAGTTCCCTAACACAATACCCAAATTGAGGACAAATACTGATTGGAACAAATATTAAAAAATGGGACTGATGTCAACAAATATTATGTGACTATCTCCAAAGTGTATGAACAAATATCAGCAAATTTATCTTCAACTCCAAGTGACCATATTCAAATTTGAGATTATGTGACTATCCCCAACCCCTTATCACATAATATTTGTTCAAATTGATTTTTAGGGAATGTCCAAATTGAGTCACTTGGGGTTGGGGGATAGTCATATATAGAACTGATATTTTAGGGAAATCTTGTAGGAAGTTAATGAAATTGATTTTTTACCTCATAAACTGCTATAGGAAGTCATGTTTTGTTTAACTACTACTACTGATTTCTTACTTGGAGAGCTGGGGAAAAAGGTTTACCTCATAAACTACCGATCCATAGTATGTGTGAGACAGAGACAGAGGCAGAGACGAAGAGCAAGACACAGACACGCAGCCAAAGATTGAGGACAACGACAGACAGAGATGCAGCCGAAGATTACATCTGCCTCAGTCGCAAGATCATTTGGATTGTATACATGGGAAAAGCCAGAGTTTGGGTGGACAAAATTGAATACCGATGGATCTGTAGGTCGAGATAATGTTAGCTTTGGTGGCGGAGAGCTATGGCGGCGACAGACAAGAGAAGATGATTTTGGATTTGGGCTCCCGCTATATCCATCTTCTTCTTTTTCACTGTTGCGTACGTGTAGGCACCCTTCTTCCACATCAGCTGCCAGCTCAGTGGGGGTCCTGGGGTCTTGTTTCATTGGGGGTCTGTAACGGGGTTGTAATTTAAGTTTGTTTGCTTTTTTTTTTTTTTTTTTTTTCTAAGTTCAACTTGGACTCATTTATGTAATTGAATTAGCTTGAGCTAGGCTCATTTTTTTTAAATATTTGACCAATCAAGCTCGAGGCCGACTGATTCTTTATGAACCCAACTCAAACACTTGAAACGGAACGAAACTCAACTAAACTCAGTTCATTTGAGGTGCTAATTCCAACACTTAAACAATAACAAACACCATGCACTAGATTTCAAATCCAAAATTACAACAAAATCAACAACACTTTAAATTAAAAAAAGAAATTTCTTGCCCAATTCATCCACTTGATAGATAAGAAAAGGAAAAACATCAATAAAAAACCAATAAAAGATAAAGAAGTATAGAGAAGAACTAAATTACAAATCCACCATTGGCACGAATGACTTGGCCATTGATCCACTCCCCAGCATCACCAGCCAAGAAGCCAACAAGCTGAGATACATCATTGGGCTCACCAAGTCGACCCAGAGGGCAAGCATCAGCCAACCTCTTCACCGTCTCCTCTGTTTTTCCCGCGTAAAACAGCTCCGTCGCAACAGGTCCAGGCGCAACGCAATTGGCAGTTATGCCGGTACCCTTCAACTCCTTCGCCACGATCTTCGTCATCGTCTCCACCGCCGCCTTCGACGCCGCATAAGCCCCATACCCGGGCAACAAATTCCCAACAAGCGATGACGTTATCATTATGATTCTCCCTCCTCCGCCTCTCTTCAATCGATCAGCAGCCTCTCTGCAGCACAGGAACGCCCCTTTGGTGTTGACATTGAATGTCGAATCCCAATCCTCTACTGTTGTATTGGCTACTGATGGGTATTTTGGATCTAAAATTCCTGCGCAGTTGACGAGGATGTGAGGTGGGCAATTGAATTCTTGCTCTGCTCGATCGAACAGGGCTTTGACTTGATCTGGGTCGGAGACATCTGCTCGGACTGCTATGGCTACGGGGTGAGACGAGGAATTGAGCTCCGATGCTAAGAGGTCGGCTTGGTTGGCGTTTGAAGAGTAATTGATGACGAGTTTTGCGCCGAGGGATCGGAGATGGAGTGTGATGGCACGGCCCATGCCTCTAGATCCTCCGGTTACTATTGCGACACGGCCATCCAGTGGAAGAGATTGAGATGGGTTTTCCATGGTCATGGTGGAGTTGCACTAATAAGAGTGGAAATATTTGAAGGAGAGATCTTATTGGGTTTTTCTGGGTTTTTAGAGTGATCCAATGTCCTCATATTTATAATATGGGCAAGGTACATGTACCTTTCAAGATTTAGCAAAATTATAAATATTCTTGAAGTTTGAGAAATTACAAATATCCTCTGAAGGTACTATTTACATAATAAATTAGGAGATAAATTGTTATGAAAATATAAACATCAGGGGACAATTTGTTATGAAAATATAAACCTCAGAGGATATTTGTAATTTTTAAAACTTTAGAGAAAATTTGTAAATTAACAAAATCTCGAGAAAAGTATATGTAATTTGCCCTTATAATATCAAGAAGTTTGTGGATATAAAATGAATCACATAAACCTCAAGTATGTAGGTGATTAAGGTCTGATTTACGCTTCGTTTACAAACATGTTATTTTAATAATTTTTGACATTTTATAAAAAAATATGAGAAAAATAAAAAGAATGATATGATAATTTATAGTGATTTTTTAACTTTTTAGCTAAAATGTATGGTTGACAAACAGATGTAAAGTCTCGTTTGGCAACTCACTGTTTTAGTTTAGAAGTCAAAAAGTTACTTAAAAAAATTTAAAAAGTCAACACTCTATATTAAAAGATTAAAGATCTTTTTCTCTTTACGTTTTACATATCATTTTATAAAAAAATCAAAAAGTCATTCTAAATATACTAATTTTTTTATCTCATATTTTAGCAAAAAAGTCATTTTAAATTATGAGGAGTGCTCTTTCATGATTTTAATTTTAAATTTTTTTGTGTAAATAA